AGAAACGAATTTTCCGAAGAGTTTGGATTACGAGAATAAACGCTGCTTCAAGAATTGAAGGAATTACTTACAGTCGTTTTATTAATAAATTAAATAATGCTAAAATTGCTTTAAATCGTAAAATGTTATCTCAAATTGCTATTTTAGATAATTCAACATTTTCAAAAATTATAAATTTTGATGAAACGTTAACAAAATAATGTAAATTTTCTTATTAATTTTAAATAACACACTGGAAATTATATTTATAATCTACAGTGTGTTATTTAAAATTAATAAGAAAATTTAACAACAAATTATGAGTGATGATTTAGAAAAATTATTTGAAAAGCTTCCTTTTTTTCTTTATGACCATTTAATAAGTCATATGTATGCCGATCAACTTATAGAAATCGTACTTGATTTAGGTCGAAGACCTGAAGCAAGATTTTCTACTGGTCCAGAATATTTATCTCAAAAAATAATTTCATGGCAAGATTTAGATTATACAACTAAACGAATTAGTAAATTTAGTACAGAAAATCGAGCAGGAATTGAACGAACATTACATAGAATAAGTTGTATTCGAAATCGACAATTTTTAATTACCGGCTTAACTTGTCGAATCGGGCGTTCAATTTTTGGAGCAATTTCTGTTATTAGAGATTTACTGGAGTCAGGTCAATCTATCTTAATATTAGGTAAACCTGGTGTAGGAAAAACCACTATTATTCGAGAGATTGGGAGAGTATTGGCTGATGAAATGGAAAAGCGGGTAGTTATAATAGATACATCTAATGAAATAGCTGGAGAAAGTGATATCCCGCATTCAGGAATAGGAAGAGCTAGAAGAATGCAAGTATCTAAAACTGAACTTCAACATCAGGTAATGATTGAAGCTGTAGAAAATCATATGCCTCAAGTAATTATTATTGATGAAATAGGAACAGAATTAGAAGTATTAGCAGCTAGAACAATTGCTGAAAAAGGTGTTCAACTTGTAGGAACTACGCATGGTAATTGTTTACAAAATCTAATTAAAAATCCACCATTAGCAGATTTAATTGGAGGGATACAATATGTAACACTTAGTGATGATGAAGCTAAAAGACGAAAAACACAAAAAACTGTTTTAGAACGTAAGGCTTATCCTGCTTTTGAAATATTAATAGAAATTAATCAACAAAATTCATGGACTATACATGAAGATGTAAAAACTTCTATTGATTTATTATTACGTGGCGATAGTTTCATGGAACAAATTAGATTATTTTCATTACCCGAAAAGATTAAAATAGTAAGTGAGCGAATTCAACCTCAATACGGCTCTTTATTAAATAATCAAAATCTTTTACCAACTTTAAATTGGTTTTCTATTAATGAATTGAAACACGAAAATTCGTTAAAATTAAAGTCAAAACTATTAATAATATATCCTTATTCCATTTCGAATAATTTACTAAAAGAAGTACTTTTACGTATGGGTATAAATTTTATTTTAACAAATGAAGTTAAAAAAGCTAGTATCATTATAGGATTAAAAAAACATTTGAATAAAAATATTAGTTTGACTCAATTTGCCAATAGATGCGATATACCAATATATAGTTTTAATACTATCAGTTACTATCAATTAGTTCGCTTATTTTCAAAAATTAGTTATTAATTATCTATTTAAATATGAGTTTTCATTATAGTATTATACATTAAATTATTATCGAAATAGAAAAAATTTAAAAAATAGTAAAAAAATGGATTAGGGTAATTGTAAGAATTACTATTTCCCTAATAATTGAAGTCATGGTCTGCCGATTTAGTTATCTTATGTTTACTAAATTGAAACTATTCCAATATTTAAATGTTAAAAATTTTTCTTATTTTTTTAAAGTTTAGTTAGCAACTCTTTTTCTACTTTTTTATTATCTAAATTTTATTGTGTGGTATTAAAATGTTGGAACTAAATTTTTAGTCGTTAATTAAATTTAGATAAAATACAAACTTGTCTTCTAACTCAAATTATGTTAACTTTAGGTGTAATCTTTAAATAACTTTTGCATTCGGGATATAGCTCAGCTTGGTAGAGCACCTGCTTTGGGAGCAGGGGGTCGTAGGTTCAAATCCTACTATCCCGATTAATGAACCTACTTGATAGAGATTGACAGACTTGACGTATAATTTTCTCTACAATATAATGATTTTTGTACCTTTATAAATCTAATTTAAAGAAATTCTTATGACAATTCGCGAACGGTTGTTAGAATTACGAGAGGAATTTTTTAATTTTGTTGGCTTCAGTTTTCAAAAATTAGCTGGTATTTTTGGATTTCCTGACAATCCAGGTATGCTATTAACTCCTTTAAAGCGATATTATTGGAATCCAAAATCATTGGCTGAAAATTTACCTATTCGTACAGTACGTTTTCCACCAGATACGCATCCTCAGAATTATATTGAAATTTTAATAGGTGATTCTCCAAAGCCTTCACCTATTCCTAGAATATTCTATGAAAGTAATACAGATGGATTTTATAGTTTTTATATGGAGAACTATAAAAATATTATTTTTTTACCAAATTGGGTTTCGGAATTTCTTCAAGTCCAATGTCATTTTTGTTTAGATATTTCATTTTGGAGGTTTGCCGGGAAGTAGTTTTTGCTATTTTGGTTACCTATTATTATATGATTTCATTTCGGATTTTTATTGCATGGCTAATTAGTATAAACCCTTATACTTTTCCTATAGCATATTTCATTGCTTTTGTTGATTGGATTGAAGAATATGCAATTGGACTTATGCCTGTAGTAGGTGGAATAGGACTAGCAACTCCATTGTTATTAACTCTTATAGGAAAAGCTGCAGATTCTTTAAATCATTTAGTATTTACAATGCCTTTTTTACCTAGTGAAGGTGTTCCAGGAAAAGCTATAGTTAACGGAGATATTAAAGATGTATTAATCTTTAAATATTTACCAATTTTGTGGTATAAATACCCAATCCCCAATGAAATAAGAGAGTTTTGGTACAATGATAGGCCAGACATTTTAAAATACATGCAAGAAGCCTATAAGAATGTTGATATTCAATTCTTACCTGACCGAATTATTAATCAATCAGATTTATTAAAAACTTCTTTAAAACAAATTTCTTTAAATTTAATACCTCTTGAACAGGCAAGTTCAAATTTAATAATAAGTAGTAATTTTTCTAGTGTTGAAGAAATTGGTCACACTGTTACACATGAATTTGAAAGTTATTTTTCTTTTCTTTCAGATTTAATTTTATAACTTTTATATTTATTCTATATTGATGTTTTAATTTACTATATGAGTATAGAATAAATATAGAACTGATAAAATTAATATTTTAAATATACTAAAGTTATATTAATTTTTTTTTATCTATCTTAAATTTTTAGATAAGCCTCGGTATCTTTATTTGCAGCCTTATGGACAAAATTTAAAAAAAACAAACAAAAAATTCAAGGACATTTTAAGAGAGTTTGATCCTGGCTCAGGATGAACGCTGGCGGTATGCCTTATACATGCAAGTCGTACGAGAGTTTTTAACTCTAGTGGCGGACGGGTGAGTAACACGTAAGAATTTGCCTTTAGGAGGGGGGACAACAACTGGAAACGGTTGCTAATACCCCATATGCTTTCGAGTGAAATGGATTTCCGCCTAAAGAGAAGCTTGCGGCTGATTAGCTTGTTGGTAGGGTAATGGCCTACCAAGGCGACGATCAGTATCTGGTTTGAGAGGACGATCAGACACACTGGAACTGAGACACGGTCCAGACTCCTACGGGAGGCAGCAGTAGGGAATTTTCCGCAATGGGCGAAAGCCTGACGGAGCAATACCGCGTGAGGGATGACTGCCTATGGGTTGTAAACCTCTTTTTTCAGGGAGGAATAAATGACGTGTACCTGAAGAATAAGCATCGGCTAACTCCGTGCCAGCAGCCGCGGTAAGACGGAGGATGCAAGTGTTATCCGGAATCACTGGGCGTAAAGCGTCTGTAGGTGGCTCGACAAGTCAACTGTTAAATCTTGAAGCTCAACTTCAAAATCGCAGTCGAAACTATCGGACTAGAGTATAGTAGAGGTAAAGGGAATTTCCAGTGGAGCGGTGAAATGCGTAGAGATTGGAAAGAACACCGATGGCGAAGGCACTTTACTGGGCTATTACTGACACTCAGAGACGAAAGCTAGGGTAGCAAATGGGATTAGATACCCCAGTAGTCCTAGCCGTAAACAATGGATACTAGGTGTTGAACAGATCGACCTGTGCAGTACCAAAGCTAACGCGTTAAGTATCCCGCCTGGGAAGTATGCACGCAAGTGTGAAACTCAAAGGAATTGACGGGGGCCCGCACAAGCGGTGGAGCATGTGGTTTAATTCGATGCAACGCGAAGAACCTTACCAGGGTTTGACATGATACGAATTTTTTTGAAAGAAAAAAGTGCCTTTTGGAACGTATACACAGGTGGTGCATGGCTGTCGTCAGCTCGTGTCGTGAGATGTTGGGTTAAGTCCCGCAACGAGCGCAACCCTTATTTTTAGTTGCCTTTTGGAACTCTAAAAAGACTGCCGGTTATAAACCGGAGGAAGGCGGGGATGACGTCAAGTCAGCATGCCCCTTACACCCTGGGCTACACACGTGCTACAATGGACGAGACAATGAGCTGCAAATCTGCGAAGACTAGCTAATCTATAAACTCGTTCTAAGTTCGGATTGCAGGCTGCAACTCGCCTGCATGAAGTTGGAATCGCTAGTAATCGCTGGTCAGCTACACAGCGGTGAATTCGTTCCCGGGCCTTGTACACACCGCCCGTCACACCATGGAAGCTGGTTATGCCCGAAGTCGTTACTCTAACCTTTTGGAGGAGGACGCCTAAGGTAGAATTAGTGACTGGGGTGAAGTCGTAACAAGGTAACCGTACTGGAAGGTGCGGTTGGATCACCTCCTTTAAATTTTTATAAAAAATTAAAAGTCGAGTTTAAAAATATTCCATAAAAAACGGGCTATTAGCTCAGTTGGTTAGAGCGCGCCCCTGATAAGGGCGAGGTCTCTGGTTCAAATCCAGAATGGCCCAACGGGGGTATAGCTCAGCTGGTAGAGCATCGCCTTTGCACGGCGGTTGTCAGCGGTTCGAATCCGCTTACCTCCAAAAAATTAGTAATATAAACTAAAATTCAAGCTAGATATTTTAATATCTTAGTTGTTTTAAATTCAAGGAACTAAGAGTTTATGGGGGATACCTTGGCATTCAGAAGCGATGAAGGACGTGGTTACCAACGAAATGCTTCGGGGAGCTGGAAACAAGCTATGATCCGGAGGTCTCCGAATGAGGAAACTTAAAAACTACTTATTGAATATATAAATAAGAAAGAGCGAACCTAGGGAACTGAAACATCTTAGTACCTAGAGGAAAAGAAAGTAAAAACGATTCCCTGAGTAGCGGCGAGCGAAACGGGAGAAGCCTAAACTTAGAAGTAAGGGTAGCGGGACAGTTAAAAATGATTAAATGTGACAATTAGATGAATAGGTTGGAATCCCTAACCATAGAAAGTGATAGTCTTGTAATCGAAAATTGAAACAATCAAAACTGAATCCCAAGTAGCATGGAGCACGTGAAATTCCGTGTGAATCTGCGAGGACCACCTCGTAAGGCTAAATATTCCTGAATGACCGATAGTGAAATAGTACCGTGAGGGAAAGGTGAAAAGAACCCCGGGAGGGGAGTGAAAAGAACATGAAACCATAAACTTACAACCAGTAGGAGGACGACTAAAACGTCTGACTGCGTGCCTGTTGAAGAATGAGCCGGCGACTTATAGCTAGTGGCAGGTTAAAACAGAGAATGTTGAAGCCATAGTGAAAGCGAGCCTGAATAGGGCGTTAGTCTCTAGTTATAGACCCGAACCCGGATGATCTAACCATGGTCAGGTTGAAGCTTAGGTAATACTAAGTGGAGGACCGAACCGACTGATGTTGAAAAATCAGCGGATGAACTGTGGTTAGGGGTGAAATGCCAATCGAATTCGGAGCTAGCTGGTTCTCCCCCGAAATGCGTTTAGGCGCAGCGGTAAATGTTATAATTTAGGGGTAAAGCACTGTTACGTATGCGGGCTGGTAATTCGGTACCAAATCGTTGCAAACTAAGAATACTAAATGTACAATTTATCAGTGAGACTGTGGGGGATAAGCTCCATTGTCAAGAGGGAAACAGCCCAGAGCACCAGTTAAGGCCCTTAAATAATTACTAAGTGATAAAGGAGGTGGGAGTGCAGAAACAATCAGGAGGTTTGCTTAGAAGCAGCAATCCTTTAAAGAGTGCGTAATAGCTCACTGATCGAGTAAACCTGCGCCGAAAATGAACGGGACTAAGTAATTTGCCGAAACTGTGCGATATATGTTTTATATATCGGTAGGGGGAGCGTTCTGTTGTAGGTTGAAGTATTAGCGGAAGCGGATATGGACGAAGCAGAAGTGAGAATGTCGGCTTGAGTAACGAAAATATAGGTGAGAATCCTATACCCCGAAAACCCAAGGTTTCCTCCGGAAGGCTCGTCCGCGGAGGGTAAGTCAGGGCCTAAGGCGAGGCTGAAAAGCGTAGTCGATGGATAACGGGTTAATATTCCCGTACCATTATTTATTGATATCGAGGGACGGAGAAGGCTAAACTGGCCGGATATTGGTATTCCGGTTTAAGCGTTAAGGTGTGTACGGCGAAAACGTACTATTGAACTGAGGCGTGAGTACGAGACGCTACGGCGTTGGAGCAGTGTATGTCATACTTCCAAGAAAAGCTCGCACTGTCGAAAATAAATAATGCCTGTACCATAACCGACACAGGTGGGTAGGTAGAGTATACTAAGGGGCGCGAGATAACTCTCTCTAAGGAACTCGGCAAAATAACTCCGTAACTTCGGGAGAAGGAGTGCCTTATTTATAAGGTTGCAATAACAAGATCCAAGCAACTGTTTACCAAAAACACAGGTCTCCGCTAAGTCGTAAGACGATGTATGGGGGGCTGACGCCTGCCCAGTGCCAGAAGGTTAAAGAAGTTGGTTAGCGCAAGCGAAGCTGGTAACTGAAGCCCTGGTGAACGGCGGCCGTAACTATAACGGTCCTAAGGTAGCGAAATTCCTTGTCGGGTAAGTTCCGACCCGCACGAAAGGCGTAATGATTTGGATACTGTCTCGGAGAGGGGCTCGGTGAAATAGACTTGTCTGTGAAGATGCGGACTACCTGCACCAGGACAGAAAGACCCTATGAAGCTTTACTGTAACTTGAAATTGAAATTGGACTTTATTTGCGCAGTATAGGTGGGAGGCGTTGAAAGATTCTTGCGGGAATTCCGGAGCCATCAGTGAGATACCACTCCTATAATGTTAGATTTCTAACTTTTACCATTATCTGGTAAAAGGACAGTTTCAGGCGGGCAGTTTGACTGGGGCGGTCGCCTCCTAAACGGTAACGGAGGCGCACAAAGGTTTCCTCTGAACGGGTAGAAATCGTATCTAGAGTGTAAAGGCAAAAAGGAAGCTTGACTGTGAGACCTACAAGTCGAGCAGGGACGAAAGTCGGTCTTAGTGATCTGACGGTGCTGAGTGGAAAGGCCGTCACTCAACGGATAAAAGTTACTCTAGGGATAACAGGCTGATCTCCCCCAAGAGTTCACATCGACGGGGAGGTTTGGCACCTCGATGTCGGCTCATCGCATCCTGGGGCGGTAGTACGTCCCAAGGGTTGGGCTGTTCGCCCATGAAAGCGGTACGCGAGCTGGGTTCAGAACGTCGTGAGACAGTTCGGTCCATATCCGGTGTAGGCGTTAGAATATTGAGAGGAGCCTTCTTTAGTACGAGAGGACCGAGAAGGACATACCTCTGGTGTACCAGTTATCGTGCCAACGGTAAACGCTGGGTAGCTATGTATGGAGTGGATAACCGCTGAAAGCATCTAAGTGGGAAGCCCACCTCAAGATGAGTATTCTCATCACGTAAGTGAGTAAGGTCACGGTAAGACTAACCGTTAGATAGGCATCAAGTATAAATGTAGTAATATATGAGCTGAGATGTCCTAACAGACCGAGGACTTGAATTTTTTAATCAAACCAATCGATTCTAAAGTATTGAATTTAATACTTTAGAATCGATTGGTTTTTATCTACTCTATCGTAGATTTTTGCTTTGGTGTTTTTAGTGTATTGGCGGAACCACACTGATCCATTTCGAACTCAGTTGTGAAACGTTATAAATCGGCGAAAATACTTGGAGAGACATCTCCCGGAAAAATAGCTCAATGCCAAAGTTTTTAGACATAATTGAAAAAATTTCTATCTTGATATTTCTTATAAATATTTAAAATTTTGTATATAATGTAAATGTACAATAATATAACTGCATATTAATATTATTTTCTGTATTTAATTTAACTATTTTTATAAGGATTATAACATATGGATACTCGTTTATTAGTAATTGGTGCTCCAATTTTCGTAGCTGCATCATGGGCTTTATTCAATATTGGTCGTTTAGCTATTCAACAAGTTCAAAGATTATCACGCCAACGTTAATATATTAGCCGAAAATATTTTCAGTTATGATTGACTTTTAAAAATTACTATTAATAAATTAAAAATTATAAAAAAATCTAACTATGTCACATACAGTTAAAATTTACGATACATGTATCGGATGTACGCAATGTGTAAGAGCATGTCCTACAGACGTTTTAGAGATGGTTGCTTGGGATGGTTGTAAAGCAGGCCAGATTGCATCTTCACCTCGAGTAGAAGACTGTGTAGGATGTAAACGTTGTGAAACAGCATGTCCTACTGACTTTTTAAGCGTGCGTGTTTATTTAGGGGCAGAGACAACAAGAAGTCTAGGATTAGCTTATTAACTAAAAAAAAATTTAAATAAAAATAAAGGAATAATAAATTACAATTCCTTTATTTTTTATGAAACCCATCCATAACTATGTAAACCTTTACCTAAGAAATTTACACCTAAATAACAAATCCAAATAACGAAAAACCCCAAACCTCCTAAGATAGCAGTTCTTTTTCCTTCCCAACCTTTTGTTATTCTTGCATGTAGATAAACAGCAAAAACAATCCATGTAATAAGAGCCCAAGTCTCTTTTGGATCCCAACTCCAATACGATCCCCAAGCTTCATTTGCCCATACGCCACCAGCGATAATTCCTATCGTTAAAAAAGGAAATCCTAAACCTATAATTCTATAACTCCAATTGTCTAAACTTTGTAAAAGTTTCAATTTACCTAATTCAGAAACATTATTTTGTGGTGATACAAGTTTAGCTTCATAATAATCTAGCATAATATTATAAAGTGGTGTAGAGGTTTCATCCACTTGTTTTAAATCAACTTCTCTGTATTGCGAAATAACTAAAAATAGAATGCATAGTAATGATCCCATAATTAATGTCCCATAACTTAATAACATCATACTAACATGCATCATTAACCAATTAGATTGTAAAGCAGGAACAAGTGGACTTGCTTTTTGCATTTCTGGAGAAAGTGTTAAATTACTAAACCCATTAATTAATAAAGCTACAGGGATTAAAATTGCTCCTATTAGTTTACTTTTTGTTTGTGATTCAATGTAAAGATATAGTGTTAATAATGTCCAAGTTAAAAATAACAAAGATTCATATAAATTACTTAATGGAAAATAACCTGCAACAATCCATCTTGAACAAAGCACGAAAAACAATAAACCACTTGCAATTGTGGCCGATAATTTACCAAAATTTGATAAAAGATCACTTTTATTAAAAATGATAAATTAACCCAATAAGAAATCATTGCAATTAATAATATAGCAAAAACCAGATTTGATGACGAATTTTGAATTTCATTCCAATCCATTAAATTTCTCCAATAAGATTTTTAAATAAGATGCTTTCTATTATATTATTTTACTAAAAGATATCAAATTTATTTCTGCATTCTATTATTTTAAAGTGCAACAATTTATACCACTAATAGAAAAATTATATTCTCTATTTCACGATAATATAGAATTGACATTCATAATTAATTCAAAGTATTATATTTGT